TAGGGACTCCTGCTAGGGTGGGGTGGGGTGAAGTAGATGACCTAACAAGGTCCCTTCCAACTCTGTTAATCTTTATCTAAATAGTAACAAATTAAGTTGATCATCTATTCTGGCATCTTATTTCTTGCATTTGGATAAACCTGGTTCCAGTGTGAATGACTTAATCTGTTTGGAATCCTGGGTGAGATATTTTGGCAATTTAGTGTTCCTTTGGTCGTGATTCTATTGGGCCTCCTTTATCTGATCCTTATCCTATTTGGCCCCTGGTTTGACAATCAGAAATCCAAAAACCAATTTATCAGTTGTAAAGTGACAAAACTCCAAGTAAAGATATGATTTTGCCAGTGTCACTGAAAATAACTGATTGGCCTCTGTGTTAGTCCCCATGTTAGTCTCCAAAGGGAGACCTAATTCTGTCATTCTTCCTATATACTAGAAAGGCAACACAGGAGGCCAAAATCTTGCTAATTATTACCCAGTCATAATGTCATTAATTGGTAAACTTTATCCTTGATTTTTATACCAATAAATGTTTAGATTAGAATATTTTAGTTTAGGAACAAGCAGGTTTTAGTTCAGAATATTCCTCCGTGGATTAGTGTGCAATTTTGCACAATTTAGCTGGAAAAAAACCCTCCAGCCCTACCAAAGGCACCCTTGATGTTGCCTTTATTGATTTAAGGGCGGCCTTCAATTCAATTGCTCGTGAGGTACTGTGGAGGAAATTCGCTATAACCTCAAATAACAGTTGCTTTCTCAGGTTGATGGTTTTATTAAATTAAAATATTACGATATAGATTAGAGGCAAATGTGTACAGAGTGTCTGCACAGATACAGTAGTTGAGTCAGTATCTGTGTATCATTGTACCACCTCTGACATCTGGCATTCACAAACCTGATTATCAGAAAGTTGTTATCTCTATGATCAAGGTATTACAGTCTTCCTTCTGCAAGATGTAACCTAGATAGGCGCTATAAAGGTTGCCAGGTTTCTAGCAGTAGCTATAGCTTGCAGAAGCTGGTTAGTATCCATTTTTCATTATTAATTGTTTTGGGGTGATTTTTCTGTATTTTAAAATTTATATTTATGCTTTATTGTTGTACTAGGAACAAATGATAGGATTTGATTGCATTTGCTTATGTTTCTTTGGAATTTCTCCATTATCTACTAATTTGTGCAGTTTGCTCTTTGTACTGAGTGCCATACATTTTCCCATTCTCTCTTGTGACTAGATGGCATGATTGGAAAGAAGAAGAAAAAAATAAGCTGGGTTGCTGACACAACATGGAAGAACCATTCACTGTGAGTTCCTTGGTAAGGATGAATGCTTTATAATATAGGGAAAACTGCTGATCAGGCAACACATCTGCTGGTCTTTTGTAGAACAAGCATTCTATTCAAATTCAAATATGTCCCGGGATGCACTGATTCCCCAAATCTAGTAAAGATGCATCTAAGTTAGTCCCAGTTTGTGGTTCAGAATATTGTCCTTAAATGCTATTACTATGAAGATGCTGTTTTCAATAACAGTTTCTTAACTTTAAGCTTTTCAGCATGAATCATGGTGGGGGTTTTTTAAATCTCTCTCAGTCATCTCCATTAGAGAATAATAGAACACTAATTCACATTGATTTTAAAAATAGGGACCAAAAGGTTCATGTTTAAAATGCATTTGCATAAATATATACGAAAGGAAAGAACAGGAAAATGCAACACAATGGGCCTTTCTCTGATTGCATGTCAGTTGCAATAAGTGTCAAGGTAATTGTGCTTTTGATGAATGTGTATGTGTGTGCATGCATAAAATGCAGTGGAAATGTTTGTTTTAGCATAATCATTTATTTTGCAGGGATTTTGTGGAAACATAATGAAAAGCTTCTTCTTAAAAGCATAGAGTGTACCTAGTCCATAATTTCATTTGCCTATCATAAATATTGAACATACATGAATTAAAGTCACCTGTCAAATTAAAAATCGCATTGATTTTAAAAGTAGAGACCGAAAGGTTCATGGTTAAAATGTGTTTGCATAAGTGTACCCAAAAGAAAAAAAAAACCTGGGGAAATGCAACACAATGGGCCTTATTTTGGTTGCATGTCAGTTGCAATAAGTGTCAAGGTAATTACGCTTTTGGTAAGTGTGTTTTTTTAATAACAGTTTCTTAAATTTGGGCTTTTCAGCATGAATCATGGTGGGGGTTTTTTTTATCTCTTACAGTCATCTCCATTAGAGAATAATAGAACACTGGTTCACATTTATTTTAAAAATAGGGACCAAAAGGTTCATGTTTAAAATGCATTTGCATAAATGTACACGAAGCTCATAATTTCATTTACCTATCAGAAATAGGCAACATATACTGAACATACATGAATCAAAGTCACCTGTCAAAATAAAATGCAATATGTGACCTCTGTTTTAACAGAAAAAGCTTGCAGCTTTTCCTGACCACACAGATATCTCCTTGAGCCCAGAGGAGCGTGTCCGTGCCTTAAGCAAGCTTGGCTGTAACATCACAATAAATGAAGACATTACACCCCGACGCTACTTCAGATCTGGAGTGGAGATGGAGCGCATGGCTTCTGTCTACCTGCAAGAGGGAAATCTTGAAAATGCCTTCGTCCTCTACAATAAATTTATAACGTAAGGATCAGTTTGTAAATATATACTTTAAAATTTAGAAATTATACGAATTGCATTTCCTTGGAACAGGACTAGCAAAACATAATGATTAGGACTGTGCAGTCCTTTGGATTCAATTTCAGAAAGGTTTTGGGACATGTGAGAGAGATGAGAGAAAGCACTGATTTGCAACTGTCTACAAGCAATCACATCCCATTAGTCCATGGCTGTTGCAGAGAGCAGCAGAATAACCCCATGAAAAGATGCAACTGTTCCCAAAACGTGCAAACGGATGCTGCACTTTGTATGTTCAGAAACTGAATATGAAACTTGGCATAGTCTTAATACTAACAAGCTTAAATCTGGTAACTCCTAAATGATCATGAGTTAAATATTACCATAAACTGGAGATCATCATTAAAACTGTTTTGGATATGTTTGTTCTGTCTACAATTATACATACATACACACAAGATCCCTGGAAAAAGTTCTTTGTTCAAATTCAGTTTTATTAGTTGACTGTTCTGGAGGTGTGGAAAGTCAAGTGTGCTACTATGCCTGACTATCTGACAGTGTTGGTATTTGAGGAAAAAAAATATTAGGGTGCATGCTGTACTTGAGTAGGAGAGAGGAGTGTGGTGAAAAGAAAGATTATTTTTTGGTAAATGCAGACATGCAAAAAATACCTTCTGAAAGTGGCATTGAGTAAAGTTTACAAGCCATTTCTTTCAGAAGAATTCCATTAAAAATAGTGACACTGCACCATAATAAATAATACGATTCCAAACAATTGTACGTTTTCCCCTGCCCAGTGGTGTCCAACTCCCGGGGGCAGTGCTGACCTTCATTTGCTAGCCAAGGGAGCCAGCATTGCCCAAATATTTATTCTGTGGTCATGTAACCAGCATGATTATATGCTGAGGCGTGCTGAACACTGTCACCTTCCCAACAAAGTAGTCTCTGTTTATTTACTTGCATTTGTATGCATTCGAACTGCTAGGTTAGCAAGAGCTAGGGCAAGAATGGCACTGTCCCCCATTATGCAGCGTTTGGGTCTTGAACTATCAACTTTCTGGTTGACTATCACAAGACTCTTGACTTCTGCCTTCAAGGGAGCTGTACTTTGTATTGGTGAGGCCCTTCATAATTTGTGTCATCAAATGAGGGGGAACCACAGTGTGCATCTCACATGGAAATGAATCTTCCCATTCATTTAAGGCCTCTTCTGGTACTTCCAGTTATTGTCTGGTCAAGATGGAAGAGCCTTCTGCCCATTCATCATTTCCAGCTGTTCAGATGGCCAAGTGAAGCTTTGGTGTGACCATGTTGTGTTTAGAAGGGGGTTGGATAGGGGAGAGATCCCTTTCCTGAGTAGTTTCAGAGGGCCACGTGTTATAGACTTTCATAAAATATCCCTTCAAAGCTCTGGATATTCTGTTGTGGTCTTCTGGCCTGAAGGACCCAACAATAGAACAGCTGTGCTACTAATTTAAACTTCAAAGATACAGAAAGCTTCTGTGAATGAAAGAAAACAAAAACTAATGTTCCCCCTAACCTCCTGTATCTATTTTGCAGTTGTCTCCATGGAAAAGCATTAGTATTGTTCTTCAGGCTTGCAAAAGGGATAAATGTGTGTGTGTTTTCCAGTTTGTTTGTAGAGAAGCTGCCATGTCACCGAGACTACCAGCAATGTGCAGTTCCAGAGAAACAGGATATTATGAAGGTAGAGTGTCTTTTTCAAAAGAAAAGGCCATCTAGGGAATTCCTCTTCTTCAAGAATGATTAATGAAAGAAAAAAACTGACAGTGGCCTGAGGAGGTTGAATGCTCTTATTCAGCCTGTTAAGGCTCAAATTTACAAATCATAATCAGTGTTTGATTTTTTGATGCTAGATTCAAGCTTGAGGTTTTTTTTTTAAAAAGAGCATTAGTGCCAAATCCTGAAAGTTAGCAATCTATAATTTGAGGTGTTACCCAAAGGTGCAATGCAGTAGTCTTCAACTTATGACCACAATTGAGCCCAAAATATCTTGTTGCTAAGCGAGACTTTTGTTAAGTGAATTTTGCTCCACTTTATGACCTTGCATTCCACAGCTACTAAGTGAATCACTGCAGTTAAGTTAGTGACACGGTTGTTAAATGAATCTGGCTTCCCCATTGACCTTGCTTGTCAGAAGGTCAGAAAAGGTGTTCACATGACCTCGGGACATTGCAACTGTCATACTTATGAATCAGTTCCCAAATGTCTGAATTTTGATCCTGTGATCATGGGAATGATTTAACGGTTGTAAGTGTGAAAAATGATCACGTCACTTTTTTCAGTGCCATTGTAACTTCAAACAGACACTAAACGAATGGTTGTAAGTCAAGGACTACCTGTTGTTGCATATTCCTTGTGTTAATAGCAGAGAAAGGATTAACCTGCCACTGAATTTCAACCTTATTTATAAATACTCTGCAGCTGAAGCTGTTTCATGGCATTAAATATACATGCGCACACATGCGCACACACTCACACATATATGTATGTATATGTGTGTGTGTGTGTGTGTGTGTGTGTGTGTGTTTCCACTGTCTCCCAGTTTCTAGCCTATATATAATTTAATACTATACCAGTAAACTTACCTATTATAATATACCTAAATTCTACCTGTAGGATTAAGCTGACTATTTTGGCACATGGAGCAGCAGAAGTATTTGTGTGTGTGTGTATGTGTGTGTGTGTGTATAAAGTTGCATTTTATTTCTCTTATTTTTCTCTCTAACGAAGAAATTGAAGGATGTAGCATTTCCAAGGACTGATGAATTGAAGAAAGAGTTGTTAAAGAAATACAATGCAGAATACCAGGAATATATGCAAGATAAGGTACCTTTTACTTTTTAGCTATATAGATAAGTGTAAACTCTCTAATACATTTTTTGAATAGCAGTGCCAAAGCAAAATTATAAATTCATGCGGTGAAAGCTACGAGAAACTAAATTGCAATTTTAAAACTGTTTTTATTCATTTTGGTTTAGGCAGAGTGACTGCTTTTGCTTTTAAATGTCCAGGTGATAAAGAAAGTTGATATGGCTTTATAATCACCCTGCTGAAAACTGTAATTAGATCTTAAAGTACCAACATCTTCCATTGAGTGATGCTATATCGGGCCAAGCTCAGAGACAAAACAGTGAAATCCAATTGAGTCCAATTCTTTATTTGCTTACACCTAAGAGACCAAATCTTGCCAGACTAAAGCCATATCTTCTAACCTAATAGATATATCTTAAAGATTCTAGGGTGGCTATCCTGAACCTCTTTCTATCTCCCCCACACACCTTGAAACTGAACAGTCTCTTAATTAGGTTTATCTCCTGAATGTACTGCCTCCTCCCCGGGAAACCATGGTGCTCCTCAAAATCCCCCCCCTCTTTTCAGTCCACCACATGCTAGTCCTTTTCTGTAATGTGAGTGAATATGAATTTGGCAGATGGAAAGAATTTCCACAGAGGAGACAACAGTGAGATAAGAAGCATCTGAATTTGCAGAAGGATTGTGGGTCTGGCTATTACCTTAGAAGGGGCCCCTCTCTAGTTTCTTGGATTGTAAAAGCAAGGGGAAGGGGAAAGATATACTTTCAGACTTGCCAGATTCTGTTAATATAACTTTACAATCAAGGTGGAACTGGAATTCCTGAGTGAGGTCCTTGTCTGGACTAACTTGCAATTTTTCTTCTTTTACATGGGGGTATCCACTGAGGGAAGGGGGACCAAACGCCGAGGTGGTAGGTACAACTATGTGATTCAAGCCCTTCCTCTTCATACGTGCATGTAATATCACATACATGCGTAAAGGGCTTTAATTGTTCAAGTATACTCCAACTTGGTTTGTTATCACTCCCCATCTATGGACATCCCTGCTTACCCAACTAAGCTGATGAATGTCCCATGGCCAGCATCAGAGAATCAGTTTTGTCTAGTGGTTAAGGCACCCTGCAGGTAGTTCTTGACATACAACAGTTCCTTTAGTGAATGTTTGAAGTTACAACGGCAAAAAAAAGTGACTTATGATGATTTTTCACACTTATGACCGCTGCAGCATCCTTGTGGTCTCATGATTTACTGACTCACATTTATGAGGGTTGCGATATCATAAATGTGTCACGCGATCCCCTTTTGCGACCTTCGGACAAGCAAAGTCCATGGAGAAGCCAGATTCACTTAACAACCATCTTACTAATTTAACAACTGCAGTGATGCGCTTAAAAAATGTGCCAAGAAAAGTCGTAAAATGAGGCAAAACTCAGTTAACAATTTTTTTTCACTTAGCAACTTAAATTTTGGTCTCACCTGTGGTCGGAAGTTGAGGACTACCTGTATTAGAAATTGGGAGACCGTGAGTTGGAGTTTGGCCTTAGCCGTGAAAGCCAGCTGGGTGACTTTGGACCAGAGGTGGTATTCAGCAGGTTCTGGCCAGTTCTGGAGAACCCGTAACGGAAATTTTGAGTAATTCGGAGAACCGGCAAATACCACCTCTGGCTGGTCCCATCTATTCTCTGCCTCCCAACTGATCGGCTGGGTCTTCTTTTGTTGCCCTGCACAGGAGAACGGAGTTGGAAAGCAGGTTAGTGGGGTGGGGAAGGAATGGAGATTTTGCAGTATCCTTCCCCTGCCATACCCACCAAGCCATGCCCACAGAACTGGTAGTAAAAAAATAATGGAATCCCACCACAGCTTTGTACCAGTCACTCTCTCTGTCTCTCTGAGCCCAACTCATCTCACAGGGTTGTTGTTGTGGGGGAATTTTTTTTTTCCAATCTTTGCTGCTCTATTCCAGACAAAAGAACCAGATATATAATTTTCTTAAATACGTTTTTTTATCCTTAGGTGTTTTTATCGCTGCTTGAAAATTACAGTTGTTCTCCTTTAGAGAAGCTGCTTAAAACCTTTGAAAATAATTAGATTTTTAAGTTGAGGCCTAATGGTCCCATTACTTACTTACAATTTAAAAATTTGTGCTACCCTTTAGAACTAAGTTTTTCCACTGCAATTTACAATCCATTAAGTTAACATTAGTATTTCAATAATCATTAAGACAGACAGTAAAATAAACAAAAGCAGCAGCCAGAGCAGTTAAAAGTTTCTGTGCACCATAAATATTAATAATTAACATATTGATATAAATGAAAAGGCCTGAGAAAATAAAAAAAAATATTTCCTTGGGACTGAAAACAAAGTCAGTGCCAAGAATATTTCTTTGCTGAAATATTGCAGAGATGGAGAGTTATTGTTGATATTTACTAGAAGTAATTATATATGGCTTTGTAGCCTAACATTATATTGTTGGTGAGACTGTATTTGTTTTTTGTATATGGAGTCTTCTTCTAATCCTAAAACATTATAAGTTAAGATATGTAATTAGTATGAAATGTGTACCAAGAAACAATTTCTTCTGGATGCATGTGTAAATTGTAAAATATATTTTCTTGTGGCACTTTTTGTTTAAATAACTTTCTAAAATGCCATGTAACTCTCCATATTTATTTCACATGAGCCTAATGATTTAGTTAAGATTAAAGTCAGCGGTATTCAATTTTTTTTACTACCGGTTCTGTGACTTGGTGGGTGTGGCATGGCATGGCGGGCATAGTGTGACTTGGTGGGCTTGGCTTGGTGGGTGTGGCAGGGGAAGGATGCTGTAAAATCTCCATTCCCTCCCCACTCCTGGCGGAAGGTTACTGCAAAATCCCCATTCCTCCACACCCCACTAACCTGCTTTCCAGCTCCATTCTCCTATGCAGGGCAACAAAAGAAGACCCAGCCAATCAGCTGGGACTCGGGAGGCAGCAAATCCATGGGGGTGGGGCCAACCAGAGATGAAATTTACCAGTTCTCCGAACTACTCAAAATTTCCGCTACCGGTTCTCCAGAAGCTGTCAGAACTGGTTGAATATCACCTCTGGTTACAGTTCTTTCCTGATATACCTGTCTAATGTATATTTGTGATATAGATTTTTGTTTTCATTTCCCAGTTTCAAACTAAACATGATGGCAAACATTTGAATAAATATGAACTAATTAAACTTGCAAAATGCGGGCAGAGGGGAGCAAATAATTATTCATGCATTAGAACGGCATTGAATTCTAGCAGTCTATTATTGGGGCTTCAATAATCAGAATAAATTGAGCTGGAGAAAATCTCTAGTCAGAAGAATTAATCATCTTCCAGATCCCTATTCTTTGCTTTTAAAATCTATTTTAAGCATAGAAACTTGACCCTTTAGTCTTCCAGATGTTCCTGATTTGCAGCTGTTAGCAGCCCTCATCTGAGCCATGCTGGCTAGGGCTGCTGGAGTTAACATCTGGAGAATGATGTTGCATGACTTCAGATGTAGATAACATCTGGAAATGTTCCTGGTAGATGCAGGGGATATTAAAGTATTCAGATCTGTTAACGCTTCGTGTTGTTTAAATGCATTGTACCTTCTCACTTGGATTAACCCTATTTTTACCTGATAACATGTTCTTTTAATGTATTCTATTTTCCAGAACAAAGGCAAAGCTGAGTTATTGAAGAAACTGGAGCAAGAGAAATTAATTGAGGCGGAAAAGAAGCGGATTGCACAGATCCGTCAACAGCAGCTGGAAACAGAACAGTTTCAATTCTTTGAAGATCAGTTAAAAAAACAAGAAATAGCTCGTGTTCAGAAAACTAAGAATAATTTGGTTACATCAGAGCCAGCTGATGGGAACACATTGTCGTCTGTTGCACACCTGAACAATACTTTCCCCAAAATAATAGCAAACAAGAGTGATGCCTCTGCTAGTCAATCTCCTCCAATCAGTCGGGCCTTAAAGCCAGCTGCTACCTTAAGTGCCGTTCAGAGTAAGAAAGTACATTTGTTGTTGTTTACCTTTCTAAATTATTAGATGGATAGCTTTTATAGATAGTTCTATAGCAATAGCGACAGCACTTTAGACTTATATACCGCTTCATAGTGCTTTATAGTCCTCACTAAGCGGTTTACAGAATCAGCATATTGCCGCCAACAATCTGGGTCCTTATTTTACCGACCTCAGAAAAAAATCAACTTCAGGCTGGTTAGGGTCGAACTCTTGTCAGTGAGCAGTGAGTTAGCCTGTAATACTGCATTGAAACCATAGTGCCACCACGGCTCTTATAATTTCTTATTATGTTTGGTTTGCAATAAAGAAAGAAAAGGTGCATCAGGCCCAAAAAGTCTGTTTTGATCAGGATAAGTCAGGTGTAGGGTCTTTAGATCTGCTGTAGTGCTGAACACTTAAACACCCACTCTAAAACAGTACACTGCCTGCTGAGTGCTTTTCAGATTATGTGGTATGAGAACAGTTCATACTGTAGACTGCTGTGTAAGTGTCACTCTCACTTCTCTTTGTTAGACCATGCTGCTGAAGGACTGCGAAGTGTGGTTCTACCCAGTGATCTGTGTCACAAGTTTTTGCTGCTTGCAGACGCAAACACCGCAAGAGGAATAGAGACGTGTGGCATTCTCTGTGGAAAACTGGTAACCTTCACATTTGTATGGCAAAGGCACTTTGAATGGTACTTTGACTGGAATGAGTTTTTATTATGACAACATAAGAACAGGAGATCTGAAACATCAGTGTACTGATGTGATAAATGAGGATTTTTTGTTCTCTGTGAGGGCCTTTTCAATAAATCTTTTCCTGCTGCTTGCTACTTTCGTGGCAATAATTCCAGATCTTAAAAGACTGGAAAGGCTATATCTATTGAGCTATTTTCCTGCTGTGTGTGCAGCTTCCTTTTTGTGATCCTGCATTGCATTTCTTGGTTTTTGTGAAATTTTTATTCGAAGCAAAGTGATATTAAACACAGTGGTTGGTAGGTTATGCCAGATTTTTGGGAGGGAAGGAAGAAAACCTACTACCAAATATCACTTGGATATTTTCTTTTCTTTTTTTTTTCTTTTTCTTTTGCTGTTGAATAATGTTTCTCTCATTAGCAGTGAAGATGTTTCTAAACCATGAGTTTCATGTGAAATGCTGAGCCCAGGACTTAAGGACATATATGTACCTGCATTAAAATAATTATAAACCAAACTAAAACGAGTTTTTAAAATCCAGTCTGTAGCAGATCAAATCCTGTATACATTAATATGGAATGGAGTTATCTGAGTTTAATAAGATTTCTCAAGTAAAACATTTAAGATTTATTTTTTTATTTATATTGATATTTATAAACTAGCCTCAAAAATATTAAGATAGTCGGGGGGGGGGGGGGAAATCAGCCATAAAGTTAGTACAAAGCCAGGCCAATGATTCTGTCCACACTTTTAGAAACTACTGGATTTTGAGGGGAAATTTGCAGCTAATCAATGTGCTGTAGTTGAGACCTTTCTAGCATTTTTCCCAAGATCAGATCAGCAGCAAACCTACTGGCATTCAGGAAGGCCACCTGATCAGAAAGGCTGTGAAGATTAGTAACACGATGAGGGCCCTACCCGTAGGAAGTGATTGTTGCTATGAAGAATGATTTTCCATGGTGTGATGGGGAATGGGAAGATTTTGTTATTGTTCTTGGCTATCAGATTTGTGTTACAATTTCTGTGATACTGGAGAAATGGAGTTGATGGTTTTGATACTATACAAGCCTTTTGGATGTTTGCAGACTATATACATTCCGTAAGGATATATATTATAAAATGTCAGGTTGTAAGGATTTATTTAGAAGTTCTATAGAATATGCAGAACTAAATCGTTTGACTCATCATTTGCGTTTGGAAATATTAGTCAATACCTCGGTGAGTCTTTGCCACTTAGCAAAGAGACCAATTATTTGTTATTCTTAGTAATGATTTTGTAAAACTTTCAAGCTGGTATAAACCAATCCTTCACAGAAATGATGTAAAAGGAAGAACAGCTTAGAGAACTTGAGCAATTCAATATATTTTACTTGTTGGTTAAAGAACCATTTGGGTCTCTAAGACTTTGGGATATTGGGCTGTAGTGCTTTAGAATGTGGTGTGGAAAAGTATCCCATTAGGAATCAATCTATTTTAAAATTAATTTTATTTTCAGTATTTCTTTACCACAATTACATATTCCTAGAAGATTTACAGATAGTGGAAACAATTAAAGCTATAAATATAATCATAACTCTAAAAAAATAAATAATATATAAAATAGTCCACTGCAAACTGGGCATGAAGGAAAGCATAGCTATTAGTGGAGACATCTGTTGAAAAAGATATGTTTCTATCAGTTTATGTCCAAAGTAGAGGCTAGTTGCATCTTGGAAATAGGGAGAATGTTCCAGAGATTAAGAATGGAATAATATCCAAAATCCATACAGACACTTTTCTAAGAAGCTGTTAGAACGCAGCATTGCAGGCTGATTCTGCTCACAGTCCAGAATTTGATTCTGATGGGCTCAAGGTTGACTCAGCCTTTCATCCTTCCAAGGTCGGTAAAATGAATTCCCAGATTGTTAGGGGCAATATGCTGACATTGTAAACTGCCCAGAGAGTGCTGTGCAGCACTATGAAGCGGTATATAAAACAAAGTGCTATTGCTATTGTTATTAATTGCAATGCAAATCATGGTCTGAAGTCAAAGACTTAATTGCCTTCCCTCAAGATGGATCCATTTGAACCCTCCAGGGTTTTGAGGCATGAAAAAACTTCCATATGTGCAAACTTGTTTAATTGTTCCCATTCTTTGTCATATATGTTTGTGTTGAGCTTTTCTCTTCACAAAGATCATAAATGTGGCTTTTACGTATAGCCAATAACCTTATCCTTATCTGACCAGAAGGAGGCAGCAGTTCTAAATTATTCCTTAGTCCAGGAAGACAGTATTCCTGCTGCTTCAGATTACAGAAGTACTAAAACAGCTCTACTGTGTGAATTCTGTAATATAAAAAAACTAAACAGTAGCACAGACCAAAAACCATATTTTGCATAACTTTAAATTCAATTCAAACCATTTTGAATTGAAATGCATCATTGTGAAATGTGAAGTGCCCTAATTTGAATGAAAAAATAGCTGTTAAAACCGTATTTTTATGTGTTTTGAACAAGTTGTGCTTTACACTCAGAATAGAAATATTAATACTAAAAAAAACCTTCTATGATAGACAAAATGGTCCATATTTTGGGGGCCAGTTGCTTTGCATTTGAAACAGGGTTTTCTGAATTCAAAAGTATTCACCTCAAAAGACTTTGTGCACTTCTACTTTGAACTATTGAGCTGCTTTTATGAGACTTACGTATTCTGGGCAAGAAGCTTATACATTCTGGGCAACAAAATGGAATTTAAATAAGAGTAAGAAAATAATAGTGTTTATTTAAAAAAAATAACATCTCCCATCTTTATAAGAAAATAAATGTATAAATAAATATCCTTTAAGAGACTTCAGCAACTATATAAATAAATAAGAAAGAAAGTTATATGGTAGGCCACAAGATTTATTCTTGGAATTTCCAGGTAGGAATGGTAAACTTTTGTGTTATCAATCCGTACTGAATTAGAGAGTCCAATTACATTTTTCCCCCTTTGGACATTTTTGTATGTAGAACACAGAGCCTACCTAGTACAGGAACCTCCAGGGCCCCTGTTCTGCATTTTGTCTTGATGATTCTTTGGTATTGATTGGTGTAAATGAGCACAGCTCTTGTGAAATAAATAGTTAAAAATTTGGTTGATGCCAGTGCTGGTCTTGGGATTGAAGTCCTGAAGCTATTTTCTTTGGCTTGTGTCTTACAGACTCATAATGAATTCACTATTACTCATGTAATCGTACCAAAACAGTCTGCAGGACCAGACTATTGTGACATGGAGAATGTGGAAGAGCTATTCGGTGTTCAGGACCAACATGATCTTCTCACGCTGGGATGGATCCATGTACGTAGAGATAAGTATGCTGGGATAGATACAGAGGTGGGATTCAGCTGGTTTGCACTGGTTCAGTCGAACCGGTTATTAACTTTTTGCCCAGTTCAGAGAACCAGCTAACCCCACCTCTGGCCAACCCCGCCCCTCCAAAGAGGCCCCCATGTTCCCCTTTTGGCTTCCAGGTTGGTGCAGGAGGCTGTCCAGCCCAAAAAGGGGTCTGGGGGGGTCATGCTGCCCCCCACACCATGTTTTGGCTTCCAGGTTGGTGCAAGAGGCCTTCCAGGTCCTAAACCCCTGCTCTAGGGTGAGTTGGGAATGGGGATTTTGCATGATCATTACTGTGGGGTGAGTTGGGAATAGGGATTTTGCATTATAATTTGCTCATAAGTAAGTAGGAACCAGTAAAAGAGGAATGGAAAAATCCCTACCTGTAGATCAGCATTTTTCAGTCTTGGCAAGTTTAAGATGGGCGAACTTCATGCTACCTGGGGAATTCTGGAAATTGAAGTCCATGCACCTTAAAGTTGCCAAATTTGAAAAGCATGGGTCTACACAAGAGCTTAGGAATTTCTATTCCTGTTTTATTTAGAGTTGGGTGCAATTAAATTAATCAGTTGTGGTTTCATTAACAAATAGTGATTAAAGCAATATGAACCATTGCTGGAGTTTTTGGGAGAAACTGAAATTAAAAGTTGATCTGGGCTTTGATGATTAAATAAGGGATTATGGAAATAATGTAGACAAATGTTAATCTTAGAGCAAGAGTTTGATATTTTTTTACTTATATCTGTACCAAAGAAAGTTGGAAGTCATTCTTTTTCAGTTTTCCTTCTTTTCCTCTTTCTTTCTTACACTTTAACTCTTTTTCTTTCCTCAGCCTTTTCTTTTTTCAAATCTGTTTTTTATTTGTTTATCCCTTAGCTTTGTATTTTTTTGATGTATGAATAGAATAGAATAGAATACTTCGTTGTCCAAGTGTGCTTAGACACACAAGGAATTTGTCTTGGTGTGAATAATCTCAGTATACATAAAAGAAAAGATACATTTGTCAGGAGTTGAGAATCATAAGGTACGCCACTTAATGATAGTCATAGGGTACAATAATCAATCAATCATACTAGGAAACAGTCAATATAAATCGTAAATATACAAGCGACAAAGTTACAGTCATACAGTCACAAGTGGGAGGGGAAGGATCAAATACTCAGCCATTATAATTCTACATTCCTTATTTACAGAAATCATACCAAAATTTAGAATGAAATCCACTGGGAGCCATCTCATATAATGCAGGCTCTGAGTCCCTCGAACCAAAAAGTGTTTATCGATAGAAGATAGTAGTTGTAGCTCTGGGTTGAACTGTGGGTTCCTTAGTACTCTCTGAGCTTGATGGTTTTCTTGCAGATGTTTCATTACCAAACTAGGTGACATCATCAGTACTAGAAGGGAGTGGAGTTTGCTCTTATTTTCATACACTAGTGGCTTACACTATCAGTGTTGATCAGTTGCTTCACAAAAAGTGTTTTGATTGGTGCCGGGTCTCTACAGCCTCAGGCAGAGAAGAGCTATTCTGCACCCCTCCCTCAAATGTTCTTTAAAATACAGAGTTTCACAGCATTCCTTTAGGAACCTCCAACATGGAAACTGTGGTTACTCATCCTAAAATGAATCCTCTTTACCTGGAGCTTCAACATTTGCTGTTTGCTGGGGAGATGTGTAGCTAAGTCCGTCTACATTTAGAGTACATCTGACTTTGGGGATATTTCTTCATAGCCAAACAAAAGTGTATTTTCCGTGCAGTTCACACCCCTTGCTTGCTGGATCTGGATGTCACAAAGCAAAGCCCACATTTTGTAATTAACCTCCACACCCCATTTTGGCTGGCAGAGTGCTGCTGCCATGCCCCCTGCCCACACCCACATCATCCCCATGGAAATTAGATTATCACAGCTCTATTGGCCTTTCTTAAGAACTTGGAGACATCTCTACGTCACCACGGATGGTGGCTGGGCTGTATAGCAGAGCCTGTGAGGCGGTTATTTAAACGTTGACTTGATAGTGTTTTGGTTTTATCTCAGCTGCCAATTATGTATTATGTTTGTGTGTGTGTCATTTTTAACTTTTGGTAGCTACCTGGAGCCATGTTTTGATATTGTGAGAGGATAGGATGCCTACAAAATGGCCACCCCCTGTGACCACTGTCTCTTTAAGACTTCTTTGTAGCCAGCATAGCAATTGCAAGCTATAAAAGTTGAGCAGAGAGACAGCTGGGTGTGGTGGTGTTTCTGTGTGGGAAAGAGAGAGGTAGGTAGGTAGGTAGGTATATGTTTGTAAAGCAGCCTGAAGCTGATAGAAAGAGATACTATTCTCCAGCAGTAGGACTCACACTGACCCACTGACTTGGGTATACTTAAAAAAACCTGTGACAGAGAGGATGAAATAAATCTCATTTCTTTATTATTTAGTAAATAATAGATGGGGACAGCTAATTCTGACTTCTTTCTTTTGTGTTTATAAAATAGAACAAAAGTCACATGCTATATAAAATGTTGCCTCTCTCTGCAGTCCCATCCAACCCAGACTGCGTTCTTATCCAGTGTTGATCTTCATACGCATTGTTCTTATCAGCTGATGCTGCCAGAGGCCATTGCAATTGTTTGTTCACCAAAACATAATGAGTGAGTCTGAGCTTCCTTTTCCATCCTCAAATAACTACGTTCATATAATGTGTTTGTGTTCTATGCTGTGTGATCTTAGTTTATTGTGTTCTATCTATGTCACCTGTAAAATGTTCAAGAAGGCAAGGGAAAAACGGAAAATACATATTGTATGAGTTTCAATCTTTACAGATAAGGGTATACTTTTTAGAATCAAATTTAATTCCTGAATATTCTTTGTTATGTTATGCCTTCTGTTATGCCTTCCCATACTGCATTCTCTCTGCTTTATTAAACCTGAATGAACAGAGTTTTATTATTGAAACTCAGGTTATCAAATCACCTATCTCACTTTTTAGTGTTTTGAAAAAAAAATATTAGGAGTAGGTGCATAGACATAGAGGTTTAATAGAAGTCTTCTCCTCCATGGACCACAGAAAGAAAGAAACCTCTGTGAATCCTGGTCTGTGCTCCAATCCATGTTACTATAGTCCAGAAATATCTCATTAAATGGTAGTGACTCTTCTATGTTTGTGGTCTTCTCAAGTATTTTTTATATTTATATTCTTTACATTAAAAATACCAGGGATTTACCTTTTTCATGTAACATGCAATGTGTTTAGGCTTGATTAAATCATTAAGCTAAAATTCATATGATAAAATTATTTTGGCTCGTTTTTTCAGTTGTGGATTTTTCAAAAGTAAGATATTATTTTACTTGTCATTTTAACATTTTTGCTGGGGCAATCAAAATACTGTAGACCTCTGGCCCATCATTTCAGAGCTCACTTAAATAATTTGTGATGCAATTATGCTATAGGGGAAAGATTTATCTTTGCAAGGAAGCATCTCAGCATGAGAAGGAAAATTATTCTAAGCATTAGGTAATTCTTGGTTGTCGTAGTATTGTAGCGACAGGTTTCTCAACAAGATGACTCTTCATTAATGTAATATTCAAAAAGTAATTTGAATTGTTGAGTAAATGGCTTCTCTCAGTACTGTATGTTGTGTCTCCATTAGTAGCCAACTACAAATTCAATTTGCAGGCAGATTCCATAAAGCTTTTGTATTCTTTGTGCAACTGAGATCAGCATTATCTGCTATAGATAATTGTTGAGTTAGTGCTGCTTTCTTAGATATAATATTTCTTTTGTTTTCTAGGGTGGGAATCTTCAGACTTACTAATGCTGGCATGTTGGAAGTTTCTGCTTGTAAGAAGAAGAGTTTTCACCCTCATACCAAGGATCCTAGGCTATTTAATGTAAGGGCAGCATATTAATTTTTAACATTCTGTACATTCACTGATCCACTATTCAAACATGCAGGAATGTGAACGTAGTATAAATCAAAATCTGACTTTTCCAATATAATGCATCCAGGTGGTCCAATTCATATCACCAGCCAGCTTGGAGAAATCTCAGATTTATATTTTGGTAGGAAGATTGAAAAGAATGGCACCAGGACTGAGATTAGTCCAACAATACTTAGATACGTGTTGCAAGCTGTTCATTTCATACATCAGTATATTTGTTCATTTGGATAAGAAGTGGAAATTGCATACTGGTGCAAATTCAAACATGCCTGCAGTGAAGATACAGACATTCTGCAAAACTGCTAAAGGCAAATATTACCTTGCAGACGCATTGAGAGACTCTTGCAGAGGGTCAGATGTAGGATGTGGAAATTAAAGTGGGTCATACTCATTTTCCTTCCAGATGTTTTGCACTGCAGTCTGTAGAATTCAGAGTTTGCTAACAAGATAGTCTTGAGAGCCTTTTCTTCACTATTCCTATCTTGTTCATACTCTAAACCTCTGTAAAGGTTTAGTATATACTGCTCTGTGAGTGAGATGGATACGCTCTCAACGAGGATGCTTACCACAAGCGGGTAGCAAGTTTAGTGAACTGGTGTAACAAAAATAGCCTCATTTTAAACATAGGAAAAGCTAAAGAGGTTATTATCGATTTTGGAAAAGGCAGGCAGAGCCATGCACCTCTCCGTATTAATGATTCACCTGTGGAGGTGGTTAGCAACATCAAGTTTCTGAGTGTGCTGCTTGGTCGCTCAACAGTGAGATACTGGTGAAGCAGACTTAGCAGCACCTGCATTTTCTGTGTTGCATGAGAAAACAACTCATGTCCTTACCACTTTCTGTAGAGGGACGATCAAGAGCATCCTGTCATATTGCATTACAGTCTGGTTTGGAAGCATTATTGCTTCAGACAGGAAAGCTGTGCAGAGTGTGGTGAGGATGGCAGAAAAGATCATTAATAGTTCACTTCCTTCTATCCAGGACATGGCAGTTAAGCGATGCTTGAGCAGGGTCTGCAGTATTGTCTGGGACACCACGCATCCTCTTCATGACCTGTTTTGCTTGTTTTACCTCCTGGGAGGAGGCTTCATGGTATCCAAAGCAGAACATCTAGATCCGGGGTGTGAAACTGGCGGTGGCCCATGGGCCGGATGCATCATGCACAGGCCACACCCACCCTGGCTCTGCAAAGGCAAAAAAGGTCATGATGCATCACAATATGTCACATGACACGATCGAGTTTGACACCCATGGTCTAGATTCAGTCAATTTTGTTGCACATAGCATCAACATTGTGAACTCTCAAGTTTCTTCTTTCCATTACGTATTCAAAATGGACAGAGATTATATTAATATATATTAATGTGTGTGTGTGTGTGTGTGAATATATGGCACAGGTATATATGTATATAGCATGCATATATGTATGTGATGTATGGTTTTGGGTAGATACATGCTTTCTCTTGAGAGCAGGCAACAGAATTTCATTTTTAATTTAATTAAAAATGAAATTCCCGTGTGCTTGCAGCAAAAAATGACAAGTTATCTCCAAATTTGATAAACGTCAAATCATTTGTTCAGAATTGAAATGTAAGAATGCCTCTGGAAAAAGATATATTGTATTAAAAACTAACATAGTTCCCAAGCTTGTTCGATATATCTGTGGAGAGAATGGTTTGTCTGTTTCCATATAACAAAGATATAGAGTTAATAGATATTTATCCATTTTCAAAATGAAATTACTTCTCTTCCTACTGTAGAAACCAAGATTAGATGATAGCCATTTGTCCCATGGAACTGTTTATATTGTCCTACAAAAAAAGTAAATTACCTTTCTTAAAGATGATAAACCTTCCTATATCCCAGCATCCTCATGGTTTGTTATGGAGAAAGTTAGATAATCAGAAGAACTAGTTCTGTTAAATCATGTATACCACCAAACAAGACGAGCAATATGGTTAGGTTTACGCTGACCAGTAATCTTGGAAGTAGGTAGCAGTACCTGAATAATGTTGGTTTTTAATATCTCAAGAACTAAACCAAGTTAGACATTGAACAGAAAATCTTCAGGAAACTTCAGTTTATCAAGTTGCGTTTAAAAAAGCAATCCCAGAAGCTGAACAAGACAATTATATAGACGTGTGAATGAAATCACTAGGAGTCCAGCTTAACTCAAGGAAATCTTTATCTTCTACAAAAGAAGAAAGAACGGAACATGGTTGTCTGAAAATGCACCTTTCAGTGTTGCAATTGGATCACAGCCTTAGGGAACCTTCGTCCTCAGATGAATATCCCAATGAAATAAATCCACATTTCCCTTAAATTGTTGCAGATTTAAATTATTTAATTTTGCAGCAGCTGCCTAATGACAGATAATCTAAGATTAATCTGGTGTTTTCTTTTGCAGATCTGCAAACATGTCATTGAAAAAGAGATAAAAATAACTGTGCTGGACCTGAGGTGATACAGAGAGAAGAATGCCTTTGGTAAAACATATGGCCAAAGGAAAACAAGGCTGCCAGGTTTTCCTAGTGTTTTCCAAGTTACTGACATTTTATATTTGTATGTTCTGAATTTAACAATTTGATATTTATTGCCCTTTTCTCATTTTGAAGTTATTTCATTGTACAGTAAAAATGAAGCTCACGGTGGCATTCAGTCCGGGTATGTTATTTTATTGGAATAATATGACAATAAAGTGAACTTGACACAATGACAGTCTTGACCCCTTTGCAATTTTTTTTCTCCCCCCTCCTCTGGAGTATATATGATTGTTTTCCTGCCCTATAAGTATTCTAAGGGGTGTCTAAGTGTGACGTGTGAATGTTTGCAGCATGTTTAAAAATACACTAGCTATAAAATAGAATAGGAAATATGGGGGGAAAAAAACAGACTCACTAACAGGAGCAAAGCAGATTCTGCTGAGAAACACACAGAAAAACTGCTCAAATAATAAAGTGAACTTTGAATGTGTGAGCTCACAAACACCAGTTCCTTCTATTCAATTAGCTTCAGTCCCAAACACCTGCTGCAGCATTACTAAAGGGCCAGTGTTGCCTCCCTATAAATTCACTGTAGAAGCAAGAACCTCAAAATAATACTGATTTTTTTCTGAGTCAAAGCAGGTAGAAGTCAGAGGGCATGGAGAACTGAAAACTAGATATAACCAGAGGACTTAGGGAGGAATGGCAAACAATTCTACTTATACATAAATTACAATGTGTCTAAGTCTTAAATGTAAAAAATAGCTGCTATCTTTATGTGTTCTCCAGTGGATGATTAAAATAAGGACAAACTTCCTTTAATCAAGGTTCAGGTTTTTCACTATTGATAGACCTTTAATGCAAATATCGACTAGTATAATGTTGATCTGCCATGTCTCACTCTTTTTCCAGAGGAGAAGGAATGCTATTTACTCCAAGTAGAGTATGAAAAAGTTGAGATTTATTAATAGAAATTCAAAGCACCTGAAAAGCATGTTTACAATTCTTTCCTCCTCTGCCCCCTAAAAACCTCAAATACATCTTATTGGAAACCCAGCTAATTGTACGGAAGGTACTTGGGGTAGGTAGGCTAATTAGAATATTTTTCACAGAAGGGGAAGCAACTCAAAAGCATTTGCGGTGAACAATGGATGGGCCAGCTTCATCGTACTCTGGTTTGCTGATCCACATCTGTTGGAAGGTAGAAAGAGAAGCAAGAATGGATCCTCCAATCCAGACCGAATACTTGCGCTCAGGTGGAGCAATAATCTGAAGAAAAAGGATTGAACAGATCTGATTGAATCACTTCAAACAGAGAATGTTACAAATTATGCAGGCATCATTTTTCACAGAAAGCATTGCAAAACTGGTAACAGAGACTTCATATCTGTAGGTAGTTATGTATCTAACCCAAGCAAATGTGTTTATTCTTGATATTGTACATCTAAGGATGAGATTACACAAATCATTTTGGACAGAAAAATGAGCTATACTCAGTTCCTTTAGACTCTTACGGAAGTTATCTACTCTGGTTGCATTGCTAATCTATTGTAGTCTATGAAGATTCTGCGAAAACAGGAACCTTTTTCATGAGATTCACTGTGATAAAGAAACATGATATGTACTGAAAAAATGATACTGGCAAATTAAATCCAATCACTACTGATGTGATGAATCTCCTTATGGGAACTTTCTTTCAACATCTACATGTTCACCTAAGGAATTTAATTTATCCCAATGAAATGGTTAAAAACAAAATATCATCGATAATTCATTTTGATTTTAAAATATGAAGTTAAATCCAAATTTGCTTATTTCAATTTATAATTTTCATTTCATTTTTATTCAAGATTCCTTTTGCTGGAATGTTAGTGCTTTGCACTGCATTTTGTTCGTGTTTTTATTGACTTGTATCTGAGTGCATATTGCTGCATCCCCTTGTGTGGCTACTGTAAGATGAAATCCATTTCATACTGGAGATCCAATTTTCTCAAGGCAAAATAAAAGTGTCCGAGCCGAAGGAAAGTAAAAATAATTTTAAATTATAAAATCAAATCAAACAAAAAATACATTTTCAATAACCATTCCCAGTTCAGGGGCAGAACTGAGAAAATGATTGGTTTAGGATTTTTTTGTGCCATCAGCTCACTGATGACTCCCAAATATTGCTGAACTACAATTCCCAGCAGTCCTAGCATGGCTAGTGATGGGGATGCTCACAGCTGCATTTCACCAACATCTGGAACATAGCAGATTCCTCATCTCTAAAAGTCCTGACATATCATGTAAACATAGCTATCTCTGGCACTGTGAATTATGCAGTGATCAATCAAACTATACCTTTATTTTCATAGTGCTAGGAGCCAGGGCAGTGATCTCCTTTTGCATACGATCTGCAATGCCAGGATACATGGTGGTTCCACCAGATAGGACATTGTTTGCATAAAGGTCCTTTCTGATATCTATATCACACTTCATGATGCTGTTGTAGGTAGTTTCATGAATGCCGGCAGATTCCATACCTGAGGAGGATTTCAAAAGGAAACCCTTGTTAAATATTCTTAAATAACAAATTAAACTTGTTAAATCTTTTGATTTGTCACTTCAGAATGATTTACGATCATATGTTGAAAGTATTTATAACCTTTTACAAATAGAGAAAACAGAATCTGAAATAAAATTGCATGAAAACTTTATACAGGTAGATTTATGCATTTTAAGATTGCTGAATACCAGAAATCTGGATGGACAAATTGACTTTTTTATAGATGTCAAAGGGTAGTCCTGTCAAATGATATGGTATGATGATAGGTGATGGGTGGGTGGGTGATAGATTAGATAGATATTGGATGGATAGATATGATAGATTAGATGGATGATAGATACGATGGATGGATGGATGGATGGATGGATGGATGATAGATATGGATGGATGCTAGATATATTAGATATGATAGATTGAGATAGATAGATAGATAGATAGATAGATAGATAGATAGATAGATAGATAGATAGATA